GCAGGAAGGATCAACGATCTCATTTAGCAGGGCAAACCCAATGAACAGTGAATTCCTGCAGCTTGAATCTGGATACTGATGCCAGCTAACAGGGCTTTTCCTCAAAGAGGTTGCTCTTTGGTGGGGGAAGAGAAGGTATTACAGGTTGAACTTCTTTAGTCGGGCACCCTTGGGACCTGACCGGTGCCAAACCAGAGAATTTGCTGAACTACAGGAGGTCAATATGGTCTAGCAGTGTTACCAACACTTTCACAGCTTAGTGAGCTATTAAAGGACATTTCAGGGTAAATTCGAGCTAAATAAAGCACAGAACACTGAGCGCCAGGACTGGTGGCTGTAAACAAACTTTATGGGTCTGCAGGAAACTTGGCCACACCCATGATAAGTGGATATCCGGCTAACTAATATCGTGCCGGACCACGGATGTTGCCGGACCAGAGTGCGCCAGACTAGAGAGGTTCAACCTATAGTTGTAGTTTGAGATGCACTATTTTTGGTCTGTCTCAGAACGAAGACCTCAGGCAAACGAGAAAGACTTTCAAACTATAGTTGTAGTTTGAGATGCACTATTTTTGGTTTGTCTCAGAACAAAGCCCTCAGGTAAACGAGAAAGACTCGAATTAGAGGAAGGAATGGAATCAAATGCAGGGAGGAGAAGAAAAGGGAAGGCAAAATAAGTCAGCAAAGACTCTGATTTCCCCATTTATTGAAACTAATCACAGTTAAAAGGTCAGGACCATTGGCAACCAGCATTATTGTATTACCCAGAGCTACATACAAATAAATAGAGACAAAATCCAGCCAGTGAACTGAACCCAACATCAATTCCATGGCTTTAACTTCGCTCATTGGTGCCTAGTCCCCTTGGCTGCATTTGCTACAGCCTCTCTAGGAGCGTCTTGTTTACTGGGAGGCTGTGGCATACATGGCCCACGACTCTCATGAGGGACTCTGCGGCATACACGCTACAAAGATAAGCCAAGAGTCCTTGAGCTGCCTAGACATCAGCCAGGCAATCTAGTTGTCTACCGTGGTCGCCGATGGGTCAAATCAAACCCCGTTGTGATGGGGGAGAACAGCTTGTCTTGAAAGTGAGCAGGGACGCACGTTCTTCATCATTATCTTGACGTCTGCTTTTCATTATTCAGCTTAGTATGACGCAGTCATATTCCATTAGTGCGTGTCTGTCTAAGACTGGGTGGGCCGGATCCGGTCCACCACTATTAACCCCTGGTGGGCGCCCACCTCTGTTTACCTGCCCCTCCACGGGTATCCAGCAATCGCAGCTCTCATTTGCCAG